GAGGTGTCTAACAACAGGAGGTGTCTAACAGCAGGAGGTGTCTAACAGCAGGAGGTGTCTAACAGCAGGAGGTGTCTTTAGTAACTGAAACACTGAGCTAACTGAGGAAGTCTTTCGGATGAAAGACGAAACGTTTCTACATTGTTTTTTCCTTGTTGTTTTTTGAATGTCAGGAGGACCAGATTGGACTTTTTTAGATTTTTCTACCTGTGCATGCATCAGGATACTGAGCTAACTGGTTTCGGCGGATGTTTTCCTGCCGCTTCAGCTATTTGAAGCTCTGGTTCTGTGTTTCAGGTCCAGTTAAAGCTCCTCTTCTTGGTTCTGCATTTCACATCAGCGTTGGGAAGGAGTCCCGAGCTCAGACCCTGCAGAGCGGTGGGTCTCCTCCTGCCTCCTGTGTAGCAGCCAGGTGTGTCCAGATGTGACGATGTGTGTCTCTGCAGGGAAGCGTCAGATCCAGCAGCTCGGCAGTCAGCTTCAGCTCAACCAGCACTGTCTGGAAACGGCCTTCAACTTCTTCAAGCTGGTGGTCAGCAAACACCTGACCCGTGGGCGCAAGATGGAGCACGTCATCGCCGCCTGCCTCTATTTGGTGTGTCGCACAGAGGGCACGCCCCGTATCCTAGCAACAAATGTTGTCATGTGATGAGAGTGTGCAGGAACATCACTTTTTTGTCCTGCAGACAGATGTGTGCGGCTTCATTTCATGTTGCTACAAGTGAAGTCTGAGATTTAGAAAAAGGCCTATTAATATGATTGACAGCTGTTGGATGAGAATAGATGATTAAAGATGTAGATCAGCTGGTGTAGACTGTTAGTTATTCAGGCCATGACAACCCCCAAAAAACATTAAAGAACAAAACAACTGAACTTTATTCTGTGGTTGATGTTTCTCTTTCCATCCGGGATGCTTCATCACAAAAACACATGGGAACAGACGCATGGCTCAACACAGAGCAGCTCCTCAGGACCAGACTCAGAGGTCCACCTGCACCTCAAGGACAAGAGACACTGCTGAGGACCAACAGCTCCACATGTTGGGGATGGTGCAGAGGTTAGAGAGGTGGGCTTGTGATCGGAAGATCGCCGGTTCACGCCCCGGTACCGACAACATCAAAAATGTGGGTGGGTTAGGTGAAGCACCCACACTTGCCCCAACCCTCATTTGCCCCACTCTGGGCCCATGAGCAAGGCCATTAACCCACCATCTGCTCCCTAAAACTGGTCTCTCTTGAAAATGAGTTCTCGTGGCTCAATGAGACTACCTGTATAAATAAAGGGGAAAGAGAGGACAGATGTTTGAGAAGAGGGGAAGGAGCACATTTACTTAAATAAAAAAAACAAGTTTAAACAGAGGAGGAGGTCTCAGAGAAACTTACAGAGCAGCATTAGTCCTGATACCAGGTCAGCTCCACTCCAATCCACGTCCCATGCATGTGACCCAAACATCCCTGAACAAGGCAGACAACAAGTCTCAGGGCTGCGTAGCTCTAGTCTCATCTGCAGGTGGATCTAAGTAACACGATGACAAGTCATAAAGCCCGGACCTCCACTTTCCAGGTCTGTTTTGAATTGTTTGAGCCTCCAGGATGAGAAGAGAAATGTCTTCAGCCACAGAACAAAGGAGCAAGGATGTCATGTCTGAATGGTGCGTACGCACCAACAGGTTGCGTGCACCCGCTGTGTCAGGAAGGACCAGCTTCCTCCAACAATGGCCCTTTTCCATTAGTCTGATTAACGGTCGGTTCCACTCGGTTCCACTCGTAATGGTTCATTGAACCAGCCCCTGTTTCAGAACCCATTTCTCTGGGGCTCCAAGCGTACCGTGCTGGCCTTAAAACATGACGTCAGATGTACAAATCACAAAACAAGAATTAAACTTTAAAGCAAAGCTAAAATAAAATAATCTGTGAACAAGAAACAAAACCACATATTTAAACTGAACAATAAAAGTAGACACAATGAGCGCAAATACTTTATTTGAAAGAATAATGGAAACACAAACTGCGCCGAGCCGAGTCGAACCGTGCTGTACTGGTGCAAATGGTACTAATGGAAAAGAGGCACAAGTGTCAGGAAACACCAGCTTCACCAACATCTCCATTCAGTTCTTCTCTGATCACTCTCTCCTCCCTGGGAATACTCTGTATCACTTCATCCAGATCTTTCCCAAATATATCTTTTCAACGGTAACTTCAAGGATTCAAAAACTATGTTTAATTTTCATTCATGGTTTGAAAGTGAAGCACATGAAGCTGGAACAAACGAACAAGTAACAAGCCTCCAACATAACTTCAACGTTTCTTCTGTCTCCTGTAGAATGAAACACATGCCTGCACATAGGAGCAGCATAAAACGTGTAAGGTGAAGAAAACCATGTGAGATCAGTAAATTATTTCACAACTCATCTCTTAGCAGGTCCACAAGGTGTGCACCATCACAAATCTGTCCATAAAGGGCTGCGTCAAGTTGGACGTATCTGTGGGACAAAGACAGCTGGGAAGCTGCAGGATGACATCACCGACACTAGAACTGGGAAGCAGCCAGTTTTCAGGGATCACAGGGACCAAACACTGATCAGGTCTTTCTCAGATGTCCCTGAGCCGGACCAGCAGGATGCGATGGCTTCATGATGGTTAAAGTTTCCACACTGCTGAGGAAATTCTGGATCATCTGACTTGTTTTGTCACATCAACTATTTAAAGAAGAAGCTTTTAAGTTCTATTGAGCTACTGAGTGCCTGTGTGTTTACAGAAAATATTTATTAAATGTGTAAAGATGGACATGTCTCAGGAAAGCCTCAGTATTTATATGGAGGAGAGTCGAGGTAGGAGTCAGTATTTACATGGAGGCAATTTGAGGTAGGAGTCAGTATTTACATGGAGGCAAGTCGAGGGAGGAATCATTATTTACATGTAGGCAAGTCGAAGTAGGAGTCAGTATTTACATGGAGGCGAGTCGAGGGAGGAGTCAGTATTTACATTGAGGC